GTACAATTTTTATTACTTTTATAAATAATAATGGCATTATATGGCAACAAAGTTTATAAGAAAATAATAGTTAAGTACTATATGGTGAACAATAATAAGTAAATTTGTTATTTTCTCTTGTATCAAGGAATAAATATGTATACTAACATTAATTTTATATTTGTATAAATCTATTAGTGAGATGATATATTAATTATTTTCAAGCTAGTCATAACATGCTCACATTTAATGTTTTGGCTATAAAAACAACGCTAATTAAAAGAGGTAAAAAATAGATTGTAACCCTATTGTTTTTTAGACTTGACGCTGATTAAACGAGATGAAAAATAGATGATAACCCTATTACTTTTTAGATTTAAATGAACATGTCTGTGAAAATAACTCATTTAATATATTTGTCTCGTGCATCGCACGAGGTATGTACTAGTTATAAATTTAATAAGTGAGGTTAAAATGTGATATAATTTACAATATAAAATTATCAAGTTTAAGTTGAACAAAATCCTTAATTTAAGGATTGTTTGGAAAATCTGTTTGTCCCATTTTTGTGTCATTATTTTGGGTTTATTTTCTCTTTATTTTCCCCCACTTATAGGATTTTCGTAGTTTATTTGGTCCAATTCTGTGTTCTTTGTGTTCTCTGTCTTTTGTTTCGTTTTTGTGTATTTTTGTTGTCTTTGCTTCGTGTTTCCCTTGTGTTCGTGTTTTCAGGAATTAGGATGTGATGATTGAGGGATAAACTATTGGGGCCGAGACCGTGATATCCGGGATACCAAGTTACCGAAACCGGGAAGCTGAAAGAAGGACCAGAAAAACGATCGTAACAGAAGGCCAGTTTTTCTCGCGACTCGCGAGTCAATCGCGACTCGCGAGATTTTCAAAGGAAGAACCAGATTTGTTGCCAGGAACTCGCGACTCGCGAGTCAATGTCGCGACTCGCGAGGTTTTCAGAGCATCGAGGCGTTTTTTTTTAGACACGAGTCGCGACTCGCGAGTCCATGTCGCGACTCGCGAGACAAGTCGCGACTCGCGAGTTTCCCCAGAAGTTTAAATAGTTTTCGAAGACGCGCGAGTCGCAAGATGTCGCGACTCGCGACTCGGCAAAAATGTAAGTCGCGACTCGCGACTTAAGTCGCGACTCGCGAGTTGGCCGGCGCGATTTTCGAGGTCGGGATTTTAAGCTCAGATTTTCGACCTAGACAAAAGGATACACATTCCAGACTTCGTTTTTTCACTTTTTTCTCTCTAGAAACTCATTCCTTTTCATGCTTTTACTCATTTGATTGGATTTTGGAGATTAAAAACTCTATTTTCCTTGCTTTGGATTGGATGTTTTTGGATTCAACATTGAAATATCATTATTAATCGTAAGTTTTTCCTTTTCTATTGTGTGACTGATGATGATGGCTTGGGTTCTTATGAATTTTTATGTTGAATTCCATATGAGTAGCTAAATCCATACGCTAGGGATAGGGGATGATTGATTCGGTTCGATAATAATTGCTTGTTCTTGATTGTTCATATCTATTCAAGTTGTGCTTATTCTAGGGTTAATAGATTGATCACCTGTTTAACCTAACTAATCGACGTGTGGAACCGTGAGGGGAGACGTTGGTCGATATAGGCTTGTTTAGAGTAGACTTGTTCGTAACTGTATTGTCTATGCGTTGCGGGAACTGATAGTTAATCGTTTACATCCACTCTCTTGTTCGTAACTGTATTGAGAGTGAACCTCTGAACGAGAAACGATTCAGGTCCTTAAACCGAGCAATTGATTGTCGGTAGCTGTGGTAGAACCGAAAGCAATTATCCCCGATTCCCTAGCTCTTTAATCATTTGAGTAAATTCGTTTTCTGTTTAAGTTGCTTTTCATTTATTTTCAAGTCATTAGTTATAATCAAAACCAAATCCATTGAATAGAGTGTCTAGATTATTTTCTCTTTTCCGTGATCGAATAAACGTACGATTGAATCCGGCTAACCTTCCTTGCGATACGACCCGGGGAACGAATCTTTCGATTCTACTCTGGTAAAAATACTCACAACAAAATTGGCGCCGTTGCCGGGGAAGGTTTAGGACTTTAATTGTGCGCCTATTCGCTTATTTTTCGTGTTTCTCTTGTTTTTCTTTTTTTTATTATTTTGTTAGGTGCTAGTTCTTTGTTTTCTTTTGATTTCCTTTTTATCTTCTTTTTCTATCTGGTGCTCGTGACAGTTTCTTTTGGCTTTTGTATGCGTACCAGGAGTGGACGCGTACTGTCTCCTATTGACAAACCGTTCAGCGAGAGCCTGAGAGAGCTACTGGAGGAGATTAATCTGGAACCTAAGTAGGAAGACGAACATTCTCCAAAATCATCAGAAGGCAGCAACCTAGAAATGGGTGAACGACAACAACAAGCTCCCCGTAACACCCTCCGAACTTTGGCCCAGCCAGTTATCG